GCCACGTGAGGACGCAGCCACAACACAGCCACCTCCTAGCCAAAGAGCGGCCTCAGAATACACCAGCCCTGCCGACACCTCGGTCCTGGACTTTCAGCCTCCACGACTATGAGAAGGCAAACGTCTGTGGTTGCAGTGTCCAGTCTGTGGGACTTTGTTACGCACGCAAGCGGACTGAGACTCTCCCCTGTGCTCCTGTGCCTCCAGGCCTCCTCCAGCCCAGCGAGTGCCAGGCTGAAAGGTTCTTTCCCTCTTCTCCCTCCCTGCACAGGCACTGGCCTGGAGAAGAATTTGTCTGGACACCTTTGGGGCCTGGCTCTGCAGGTGTTCAGGAAACGCTTGCTGAAGTGAATTAAATTCTTCTTGGCCTAAACACACGTACTTTATACAGCTCTGAGGCTCACAGAAGAAATACACAGTTGGCGTGGGTGCAGTGACTCTGGGGCCACCTAAGGGTACATCAGGCTCCATGGGATCTAACCAGTGACCCGCAGCACCCGACAAGCCCTCTCGAGCTTCGGGTCGGGGCCGCAGCCTTCTCCCCGTGTGCGCACGTACTTGGGCTGCTACGGCTGCCTGGATCTGTTCGCTTGTCACTCAGTGAAGTTTCCCCAATCTGTTTATATTAGTTATGCTTATCATAATGGCATTGTGTAATTGAGTATACATAAAACGATAAAATATGAATACAAAAGTGATTTCTATGAACACTCATTAAATGTCTTGAAAAGACTCATTAAAGGTGAATGGCTTTACAAAATTGCTGTTGATTAAGCTTGGTGTGACAGCCAGTCTCCAAGGTGGCCCCATGCTTCTAATCTCTTGGAGTTCACACCGTGTGTGGCTCTCTCCCACACTGAATTAAGACCAACTGGGAGACACAGAATACCAAGGGACTGACAATCTGTGTGCTCCAAGGCTGGGTCACAGAAGGCGTCGCAGCCTTTGCTTGGTTCTCTGGGGTCTCTGGCTCTGGAGGAAGCTGTCGCACCATGAAGACGGCTCTTTGGAGGGGCCACATGGAGAGGACCTGAAGCCTCCCACCCGCAGCTAGCACCAGCCTCGGGAGTAAGGCGGTTTGGAAGCAGCACCTTCAGCACCAGGCAGTGCTCCTGAGGGCAGCTCCTGCTGACACCGGCTGCAATCTCAGGGGAACCTTACAGTCCAGTTGCTCCCACATCCCTGCCCACAGACAACGTGAGAGAGCATGAATGAGGGTCGGCGCTGCAAGTGCTGGGGAGGAGTCGTTAGCTGAGCAGCAATAGCCAACCAGCATATCACAGGAAACAGGGGCCTAAGTGGAGTCTGCACCCCGTTGTTTACAAATGCTTTTAAACTCGCCTTACTTTTTTTTTTTTTTGATACAGGGTTCATGGTCGCACAGACTGGAGTGAGTGGCATGATCTTGGCTCACTGCAACCTCTGCCACCTGGGCTCAAGCCATCCTCCCACCTCAGCCTCCCGAGTAGCTGGGACTACAGGTGCATGCCACCGCACCTGGCTAATTTTTCTGTATTGTTAGCAGAGACAGGGTTTTGCCATATTGCCCAGGCTGGTCTTGAACTCCTGTGTTCAAGTGATCCACCCGTCTTGGCCTCCCACAGTGCTGGGATGACAGATGTGAGCAACTACGCTGGCCTCTCATTCGTTAAGAAGCACAGGCTCCGAGTCAGGGGCCAGGTGTGGCGGCAGGTCCCAGTTACTTGGGAGGCTGAGGCAGGAGAATGGCGTGTACCCGGGAGGCGGAGCTTGCAGTGAGCCGAGATCGCACCACTGCACTCCAGCCTGGGTGACAGAGCGAGACTCCGTCTCAAAAAAAAAAAAAAGATATATGTGAAGATTTAAAAAATTTTCTCATTGTAACCGAATTTTTGCTAAACAAAACCAATGCCAGTTCTAAAAGTTTGGGAAGAACATTTCTATGGGATTCTCTGAATACCTGTGGACGTCTTTTCATGCAGTGACCTGAAGGTTGTGTGTCAATCAAAGATTCAGACATTCGAATGACACTTTAAATGACCAATTAATTAGGCAGCTTCACACAGAAGGGACCCATGATGAACCCTTTTGTTACCAGAAAGGAGTCCAGATCCAGACCCCAACACAGGGTTCTTAGATCTCTCGAAAGAAAGCATTAAGTGAAAGCAAGTTTATTATGAGACCAAAGGAATATCAGAATGGCTACTCCATGGGCAGAGCGCCCCGAGTGGCCCACTCTTATGGTCATTTCCTGATTATATGCTAACCAAGGGGTGGATTATTCATGAGTGTTCCAAGAAAGGGGTAGGCAATTCCCAGAACTGAGGGTTCCTCCCCCCTTTAGACCATATAGGGTAACTTCCTGACGTTGCCATGGCATTTGTAAACTGTCATGGTGCTGATGGGAGTGTCTCTTAGCATGCTAATGCATTATCATTATCGTATAATGAGCAGTGAGGACGACCAGAGGTCACTTTCATCGCCATCTTGGTTTTGGTGGGTTTTGGCTGGCTTCTTTACCACGTGCTATTTTATCAGCAAGGTCTTTATGAACTGTATCTTGTGCTGACTTCCTATCTCATCCTGTGACTAAGAATGCCTCACCTTCACCAGGCATGGTGCCTGTAATCCCAGCACTTTGGGAGGCTGAGGCAGGCGGATCATGAGGCCAAGAGATCGAGACCATCCTGGGCAACATGGTGAAACCCTGTTTCACTAAAAACACAAAAATTAGCTGGGCATGGTGGCGCTTGCCTGTAATCCCAGCTACTTGGGAGCCTGAGGCAGGAGAACACTTTAACTGGGAGGTGAAGGTTGCAGTGAGCTGAGATCACGCCACTGCACTTCAGCCTGGTAATAGAGAAAGATCTCCGTCTCAAAAAAAAAAAAAAGAATGCCTGACCTCCTGACCTTCTTGGAATGCAGCCCACTGGCAGTAGGTCTCAGTCTTATTTTACCCAGCTCCTATTCAAGATGGAGTCACTCTGGTTTGAATGCCTTGGACACTTTGACCTTTTCTAGCTTCAGGTCCCAAAGTGGCTTAACAGGGCAAACCTATACCCTTGGTAGCCTGGACAGAAGCAAGTGCTCCCTGCCAAGAGGTGCCCTGCTGCTGTCCCCACCACCCTTTGGCTCAGTGTCTGTTTGAAAAGAACCGCATGCTTTTTCCTTTCCGTTTTCATGAACTGAAGAGGGCTGACCCGGCAGCTCCGCAGCCCCAGCCTGGCAGGCAGGTGACAGTGTTAGCATCATAGCCCCAGGTTCTGTCTCTGCTTTTCTTCTTCCCTCCTGTCCACCCCAGTGGCTCTTCTCCCACAACTCCCTCACCTCCCCGTGGCTGCCACCCCTTCACCCCTTGCCCAGACCTCTTTCTTGCATCCTGTCGCCTGAGGGATAAACTCTTCTTATGTCCCTGACCCTCGCTGCTCCAGTGCCCTCTGCCAAGACTGGTGCCACCCTCCACCCACCCTGGGCCAGGACCGAGTTCGCCCTCCCTCTGCCCGCCCCTGCTTTCTTCCCTTCCAAATAGGGACAGAGTCGCTCAGACCCCCGCCACCCTGTGCCTCTGCTTGTGCTTTCATGCCTGGTCCCAGACCCTCCTGTCAGGACAGAGGGGCTTTTCAGGCATTCAGCAAGCACTTAACACCTGCTGTGTGCAGGGCACTGTCCCCACTCAGGAAGTTCACACCAGCCGAGGAGGCAGCGGGTGGTCAGATCAGCTCACGCCTGGTCAGTTGACCACAATCCCAGGGATGCTGTTGGTGCCTAGGAGTGAGTCTCGGGCCACCTGCCTGATGGAGGGTCGTTCAGGTTGGGTCCTGAGAAGGGGCTGGAGCTGGGCAGGAGGAGAGAGGGGCCAGAGCATTTCGGGCAGAGCAGGTGGTGTGTGTGGAAACATGAACCTGAGTGGGAGCCCTGCCGGACTGGAGGGCGACGTGGGCCCTGCTTTCTCAGAGAGCAGTGGGAGGGGATGAGGCAGGGAGCGGGGAAGAGGCAGGGAGCGGGGAAGAGGCAGAGCGTTCTGTTCCTGGGAGCTCTGGGGGGCTTTGGAAGCTTGGAGCAGGGAAGTGCTGGGATCCACTCTTGATCTAAGGGCTGATTTTGACACACAGGGGACCCAGAGAGAAGCTCTCACGCAGGCCGAGGGAGGGCCTCCGCAGTGGCTGTGGAGGCGCAGATGAGGAGAGGATGTTCCTTCGAAGGATGTTTAGGAGACTGGGCCGTGGCGACTTGGTGGTGGACCAGATGGAGGAGCGGGGAGAAGCGGGCCACAGGTGACTCTCGGCTGCAGGCTCGAGGCCTCAGGGGACCAGTGATGCCAGTTCCCAAGATGGGGAATGCCGGGAGCGATGGGCCTGGGAAGGAAGAGAATTGATGAGTTTGGGACACGTTCAGCCTGGGACACCTGAGGACAAGTAGGTGGAGATGCTGCGCTGGGAGGCAGAAGTGGGGTCCAGGCAGAGGCAGAGGGAGGAGGTGGCTCGCCTGCTGGAGGTCACTGAAGTGAGCCATGGTCAGTGGATGGCACCTGGCAGACCTGCGTGGGAAGGAATGCTCCCCTGCTGAACTCTAATCTCTGGAGCGAGGGAGGAACTTTGTCCTGTGGCAGGCCTGCCCGGCAGTGTCACTGCATTCTGGGCAGCGGCAGCATTGGGTGAGGGTATGAGGTGGGAAGAGTGGACTCTGGGCTCAGCCCTGAGGAATTCTGCCTCTGAGGAATGGGTGGAGGGGAAGCCAGCAAAGGGAGCTGAGCAGGAAACCCTGAGACGTGGGGAGGACAAGGCTCTGTCCAGTACCGCAGAAGCTGCATGGGGAGAGCTTCAGGCCAGGGCAAGTGGTTGAGTCAGAGGAGGGCGGAGGAGCGCCCACTGGACTCAAGTCAGAGGAGGGTGGAGGAGTGCCCACTGGACTGGGGTTGGAGGAGGGCGGAGGAGTGCCCTCTGGACTCGGGTCAGAGGAGGGCGGAGGAGCGCCCACTGGACTCAGGTCAGAGGAGGGCGGAGGAGCGCCCACTGGACTGGGGTCAGAGGAGGGCGGAGGAGCGCCCACTGGACTCAGGGACACGAGGCCGCTGGGGGCTTTGGGGGAAGCAGCTCTGATCATATGATGGAGGCCACGCCAGAGTGCACCAGGAACAAACAAACCCCGAGGCTTTTCCCATGACAAACTGTCCAAAACAGGAACGGATAGGCCCATCGATGAAAAGGAGCGTGGAATCCTGGGAAGAGCTGACTGTTCTGTGTTTTCAGATGCGGGTGGTGGAGCATGTGGTCGGTTATGATTGGGGTTGGCTGTGACACTGTTCGGTTAGGAGAGAAGTTTAGAGGCCAGCAGTTTGCGGTGGGAATGGCAGCGCCTCTGTCATCAGACACCCACGCTGCCTCTTCCTTCCTGCTGACTGTCCTGGCCACTTCCGCCTGTGTCTCACTGGCCAGATCCCAGGCACATGGCCCCACCCTGCTGCCTGGGCTTCTGTGGCCAAGGAGGAAGAGGAGAAGGGAATTGGTGGGCGACTGGCAGCCTCTGCCACGTTCTGCTTAAATATTAATGAGAAATGCCAGAGTCACAGAGAAAGGAAAATGGTTTTTGGTTTCAGGTTCCTGAGAAGGCAGGCGTAGGGGGAGAGGCAGCTGTCCAAAGCCCAGGCGAGGGGACCAGGCTTTGGGAGGACAGAAATGGCTTCCACGGCTCCTCTCCTGCAGGAGGGATGAGGGAGGAGGGGTTTGAGTCTGTAGATGTGGCCACAGGAAGTCAAAGGCTTTCTCTCTGATGGCTTCTACATCATGAAGACAATCGGGAGCTCTACCGAGAGTGTGAAGTGTACAGAACAGGTCAGAGAATTTCATAGAGTGGAGAAGATGTAAAGCCCTCATTAAACACAATGGGGCATCAAATGGAGAAGGAGGATGTGGGGGTTGCAGGTTAGTTCAAGATAGAACCCAAGAGCGTGGTTGGCCATGTAGATGTGGGCTTCGAGCAAGCTGGGAAGTTGGGGAGTGGAGTCCCAGTAAGGCCAACAAACAGCCTTGTGGGAGCCACTGGGCGGGCAGCTTGGAAGAGGAGGGCAGCTCAGGAGGCGGCTGACTAGAATTGAGAATTGGGAGGTGGTGCATTCCGAGGTAATGTCCAGGCTGTCCCTGACTGTGAGCGGAGCTGATGGCTGAGATGGAGGGAGATGATATGGTGGAGAGGACGAGGTGGAAGACCCAAGAAGCCAGGGCACCAAGTGGGTCATCCACATGGCACCTGAGTTGTTCAGGATGGGGGCAGGACTTGGGCATGAGCAAGACATAAAACAAGGTCCTGGCAGCTCTGCCTGGCTCAGGGCTGTGAGGAGGCTGCCATGGGAAAGCAGTCGTGAGTTGGGTGTGTGACTCCCAAGCCCTGTGTGGGACCCCAGGTGGTCTCCTGCACCCATCCCTCCCCTCACTGGCCCAGCCTACCCAGGACTTCCATGGGCATCTGCTTCCCCCAGCTCAGAACCTCTGGCTCCACCCTTTGTAAGAGAAGCTCCCAAACCCTAGCCTGGCGTTTGAGGACGCATTTACCTGCAGAGTGCCGCGGCTCAGAGCAAAGACCGCTGATTCAGACTCCCTGGGTTCTATTCTTGTGCCTGCCACTTAATATATGTGGGGCCTTGGCCAAGTTAACAAACCTCTTTGTGCCTCAGTTTCCCTCTATAAGATGGCGATAGTAAAGGATGCCTCTCTAGGGATTAACTGAGGTAGCCTACATAAAGTACTCACCGGTGTTAGCTGCTATTTTAACTCCTTCTGTCCTCTTTGCACACTGGGCAGGCTACTGACTTCTTGGACCACTCAGAAGCCTTGGACCACTCAGAAGTCTCACCTTTTCCAAATCCTGCCTCGGACAGCTCTGCACGCCTTCCTCTCCTCTCTTCCTCAATACGGAGCACCACGCCTCGGTAAGCTCTGCTATGCAAGCCCAGTGATGAATGGCCTGCCCTTCCCACTCCCACAGCTGGGCCCTGATTCAGGACAGCCTTGCCTCCTACCTGAACTCACACAAGACTGCCTCGCTCATCCATGCCGTCCCGCACTTGTTCTGATTCAGCTCACATCCCCTAAAGAACAGCGGTGGCCTCTAGCCCACCAGGGGTTCCCCACCTAATTCACAAAAGTGTGCCTATTTCTTTCTTTTCTTTTAAAAATTTTGAGATTGGCCAGGTGCAGTGGCTCATGCTTGTAATCCCAGCACTTTGGAAGGCCGAGGTGGATAGATCACCTGAGGTCAGGAGTTCAAGACCAGCCTAGCCAACATGGTGAAACCCTGTCTCTACTAAAAATACAAAAATTAGCCAGGCGCAGTGGCATGTGCCTGTAATCCCAGCTACTTGGGAGGCTGAGGCAGGAGAATCACTTGAACCCGGGAGGTGGAGGTTGCAGTAAGCTGAGATCACACCATTGCACTCCAGTCTGGATGACAGAGCAATACTTCGTCACAAAAAGAAAAAAAAAAAAGAAGGCCGGGCGCGGTGGCTCAAGCCTGTAATCCCAGCACTTTGGGAGGCCGAGACGGGCGGATCACGAGGTCAGGAGATCGAGACCATCCTGGCTAACACGGTGAAACCCCGTCTCTACTAAGAAATACAAAAAACTAGCCAGGCGAGGTGGCGGGCGCCTGTAGTCCCAGCTACTCGGGAGGCTGAGGCCGGAGAATGGCGTGAACCTGGGAGGCGGAGCTTGCAGTGAGCTGAGATCCGGCCACTGCACTCCAGCCTGGGCTACAGAGCGAGACTCCGTCTCAAAAAAAAAAAAAAAAAAAAAAAAAGAAAAAAAAGAAAAAAAATTTGAGATGAAGTCTCACTCTGTTGCCCAAGCTGGACTGTAGTAGCATGATCTCGGCTCTCTTCCTTCCTTCCTTCCCTCCCTCCCTCCCTCCTTCCTTCCTTCCTTTCTTCCTTCCTTCCTTCCTTCCTTCCTTCCTTCCTTCCTTCCTTCCTTCCTTCCTTCCTTCCTTCCTTCTAGAAAGAGCTAGGACGATAGATGCACACCACTCACCTGGCTAATTTTTTTAAAAATATTTTTGTAGAGACAGGATCTTGCTATATTGCCCAGGCTGGGCAAATACTCCTGGGTTCAAGTGATGCTTCTATGTTGGTCTCCCAAAATGCCAGGATTACAGGTGTGAGCAATTATAGCTGGCCCAGAGTGTTGTTTTTTGTTTTGTTTTGTTTTGAGACAGAGTCTTGCTCTGTCATCCAGACTGGAGTGCAGTGGCGTGATCTCGGTTCATTGCAACCTCCATCTCCCAGGTTCAAGTGATTCTCCTGCCTCAGCCTCCCAAGTAGTTGGGATTACAGGCACGCGCCACCATGCCTGGCTAATTTTTTGTATTTTTAGTAGAGACAGGGTTTCACCATGTTAGCCAGGCTGATCTTGAACTCCTGACCTCATGTGATCCACCCACCTTGGCCTCCCAAAGTGCTGGGATTACAGGCATGAGCCACCATGCTTGGCCAGCCATGTCTATTTCTTGATGACACTCTAACACCCCTGATGACTGTCCAATACCCTCAATGGCTCTCCAAGATGCACCATGACTGTCCAACACTCTCAATGATTGTCCAGTATTTTCCATAACTTTCCACACCCTCCATGACTGTCCAGTACTCTTCATGACTGTCCAGTACTCTCAATGATTGTCCAGTACATTTTATGACTTTCTAATACTCTCCATGACAGTCCAAAACCCTCCATGACTGTCCAATACATTACACAATTGCCCAGTACCCTCCAGGACTGTCTAACACTCTAGTGAGTGTCTAATACCCTCATTGACTGTCCAATACCCTCAATGAGCATCGTTTATGGGGAGAGCTGGTGCTGACTGAAGAGGGGTGCTCAGTGGGGGCACATTTGCGTTTGGAAGGAAGAAATGTGTTTGAAAAATGGAGAAAGGTAGGAGGGGCCCTCCCGGAAGGAAGGAGCACTTGGGCACTGGCAGGTGCTGGCAGGCAGCAGAGGGATGTTGGGGAGGGCGGGCACAGTGGCCAGTAGCAGGAGGTGAGGCCTGAGACTTTTCCCACTCCCCGGACTGATTTTCCAGCAGGTAGTAGCCTGCCTTGTTCACCGTGGGGCCTTGGTGTACCCTTGATGACTATTCAATACCTTCAATGACTGTCCAGTACCCTCAATGAGCATCCAATACCCTCCATGACTGTCCAATACCCTCAATGCATGTTCCGTACTCTCAATGATGGTACAATGTCCTCGATGAGCATCCAATACCCTCCATGACTGTCCAATACCCTCGATGAGTGTCCAGTATCCTCCATGAGCATCCACTACCTCCATGAGTGTCCAATACCCTCCATGACTGTTCAATAACCTTGGTGAGTGTTCAGTACTCTCAATGACTGACTAATACCCTCCATAACTGTCCAATACTCTTCATGACTGTCCAGTATTCTTCATGACTGTCCAATACCCTCCATAACTGTCCAATACTCTTCATGACTGTCCAGTACTCTTCATGACTGTCCAATACCCTCTATAAATGTCCAATACTCTTCATGACTGTCCAATACTCTTCATAACTATCCAATACCCTCCATAACTGTCCAATACTCTTCATAACTGTCCAATACTCTTCACGACTATCCAATACCTTCCATAACTGTCCAGTACTCTCCATGACTATCCAATACCCTCTATAACTGTCCAATACTCTCCATGACTATCCCACACCCTCCATAACTGTCCAATACTCTTCATTACTATCCTCCATAACTGTCCAATACTGTCCATACCCTCCATAACTGTCCAATAATCTCCATGACTATCCAATACCCTCCATAACTGTCCAATACTCTCCATGACTATCCAATACCCTCCATAACTGTCCAGTACTCTTCATAACTGTCCAATACCCTCCATAACTGTCCAATACTCTCCATGACTATCCAATACCCTCCATAACCGTCCAATACTCTCCATGACTATCCAATACCCTCCATAACTGTCCAATACTCTTCATGACTATCCAATACCCTCCATAACTGTCCAATACTCTCCATGACTATCCAATACTCTCCATAACTGTCTAATACTCTCCATGACTATCCCATACCCTCCATAACTATCCAATACTCTTCCTGACTATCCAATACCCTCCATAATGGTCCAATACTCTTCATAACTATCCCATACCCTCCAAAACTGTCCAGTAGTCTTCATGATTGTCCAAGGCCTTCAATGGACATTCTAGCTGGGCCACACTCTCAAATGCTGTCCTACAGCACCCTTCCATACATCCTTGTTCGTTTCCCCAAGTTCCCCCAAAAGAACAAACTAGCACAGTCCTGCTTTCTCCTGCAGACCCCTGGGAAGGTCTGACCCCACTACAGGCCTCCAGGTACCTCCAGCCTGTCCAGTCTCTTCCACGGTAACTCCCACCCACCCACGCTGCCCTGTGCATCTCTGCCCCTGTTGGGCAAGGCCCCTAGAGCCTTGAGCTGACATCTCACCCACGCGGCTCAGCACAGGACCATCAGTATCTGCCGACACCCTTCCTTCACCAGGCTGCAAGAACAGCGCCAGTGTGCATCTTAGCTGCAGCCCTGGAGAAATTGGGGCAAAGATGAAAGGCTGACTCTTGATTTGGGAAGTGAAAGCCCGGGGCTGTGAGGGTGAGGCTGGGAAAGAGGCCAGCAATGCTGTGCACAGCCACCCTGACCACCACTCCCAAAGGAGAAGCCATGGCCCCACCTCAGAGAGAAAGGAGGGAGCTGTGTGCTGCAAACCCAATGTTTCCCGGTCCCAGTGGTCCATTTCACCCCACAGGGAAGCTAGGTGGCATGTCCTGGAAGGTGACGTTTCAGCCAAGCCCCAAGGTGAGAGTCAACCTGCATGAGAGAAACAGCAGGCAGCTGGGGACCTGAGAGTTGCCCGGGTTTGTGTTCACAGCGTAAGAGTTCTCAGAACGGGGATGGATGAACGCCGGGTTCAGCTGCCTTCCACAAGACAAAGCAGCCACAGGCATGGGCCGGCCCTCTGTGACAGTGAGGAATCCGTGTAGAAAGGCCTGGCCATGGCCTCCTTTCTCTCCTCGGGCTCTCAACGAGCACACCTGGCTGTGGAGCTTCTTAGAGGCCTGGGAATGGGTCTGGAGGAGGAGCCAGCACCGAAGACACAAGGAAAGACAGTTTCACAGTCACCGCTTTGCAGCAAATAGAGCCACAGGCTGCCCCGAGGGCCACCACATAGTCTCTTCCCCCGAACCCCGCCCCACTCAGACCCTGACTGACTTCCAGTGGGGCCGACACTGCTGGCCCAGCAGCCCTTCTTTGGCCTGCTGGTGTCTTGGGCATTGTGTGTGTGGGGGGGTGTCCACCTTCTCTCTCCTTTCCCCTGCCTCAGACCACCACTCACCTTCTGTATGCTTCCACCCAGGCCCTCTTCACTTTGCTTTCTTTTTCTTTCACGTTAGACCCTGAGGGTCAGTTTCCTTTCTGCAAAGGCCAGGATAGCTTGATTTCTAGAACTTCCTAGGTGTAAGGGGAGATAGTTGCATTCTTTCCTGGGAGGTGTGCTCAATCCTGGAGCGGGTTGGATCCTTCTTATGCAGCAATAAAATAAAGAGAGTGGCCAGGCTCAGTGGTTCATGACTGGAATCCCAGTCCTTTGGGAGGCCAAGGCAGGAGGGTCGCTTGAGCCTGGAGTTTGAGACCAGCCTGGCCAACATAGTGAGTTTCTGTCTCAACAAAAAATAAAAAAATCAGCTGGGTGTGGTGGCACGCACCTATAGGCCCAGCTATTCAGGAGGCTGAGGTGGGAAGATCCCCTGAGCCCAGGAAGTTGAGGCTGCAGTGAGCTATGATCATGCCACCACACTCCAGCCTGGGCTACTAAGTGAGATCCTGTCTCAAAAAAAAAAAAAAAAAAAAAAAAAAACTTGAAAAGAAAATGAAGAGAAAAAAATCGTAGTTTCATTATGAAACCAGGTTGCGCATTACTTTCCCACCTCACATCACTGAGAGGTTTGTTGTCTGGGCTCTAACAACAGGCCGGGATCCAGAGGTGAACAAGGCCACGTGCCTGCTCTCAGCTCTGCTTGGTGGCATCTGAGTGAAGACAGGGGTCATGTAGCGGAGGGACGTGCTGGCCGCAGGCTGCTTGGGGTCCCTGGTGACTCCCGGTGGCCTCGGTGTGTTGGCTCAGGGTGGCAGTGTGCTTCTCAGGCCTAGCCCCATGACCTAGGCTTTAAGGCAAACAGCGGGGCTGCTTCAACACTGTGGGTGGGAGGCGCTTGGAGCTATGAGACACAACCTGAGCCTCCGTTTGGAAAGACCCTGGCCTCCCAACCCTCTGGAGCTGAGACCTGAGGAAGGGCCCTTAATCCAGACCCTCCCTTTCCTGGTGCTCCGGCCCCTCTGCCATCCTGGTGCGGGGAGCTGAGGCCTGTGCATGGGTTTGCTTTGTCGGAGCCTGGGGCAGATGCCAGGGTGAGCACAAAGCCACATTGTGTTCCCTGGCAGGCACCAAGGGACCCACATAGCCAGTTGAGCCCCATCTCGGCTCTCAGGGGCTCTGCACTGGTGGATGCCTCCGCAGGGCCTGAGGTCAGAGCTCCCTGCCCACCTGCTGCCTACGTACCTGGTAGACACCCCCTACTCCAGCAGCCTGGGACCTGGATTCTCCAGGACAACTCCAAGTATAAAAACCCCTTCCATGGTCAGACTCAGACCAGATGTCCTGACTTGGGGTTTGGAAAATAAAGCTACTGAACACATGCCAGCATGTGCCTCAAGACATCTGCAAGGAACAGGTTGCCTGTCACCTTCATCACTGTCCCGACCCAACTGCACAAACCTTCCTAAATGTCCATCCTCCTGATCAAAGCACCTCCACACTGAAACTGCTTCATTCATGCCAGTGTTGAGGAGTGTGAATGAGTTCCCCAGGACACCACGAGAATGAAGCCCATGGCATTAAACTCATCCTGTGAAGCTGGAAACACATTCAGATGAGTAAGTGATTTGCCTGAGATCACCCTGCAGAAGCAGGGGTTTCTAATGGAGGAGGGATGCAAAGTGCTCCGAGAGCAAGGCCCCTCCTGCAGACATAGAAAAGGGCTTCCTGTGGGAGGTTTGACTGGGGGAAGAGGCACTCTCCAGGGCTAGAACAGGAAGGGCTGCCTAGCGGGGCGATGGCAGGTGCAGCTCTGCAGAGGCATGAGGCAGTGCTGCCTGCAGACAAGGAACCAGGCACACAGGGGAGGAGTCAGCTTCCTTGAATCCTGGAATCAGCTTCAGGAGGAATGCTAAGTCCGAAGCCCTTCTTCTCAGAGATGAGGAAACCCAGCTTCAGAGAGTTCTGCAGCCTGGTGAAGGCTCCGCAGCTGGCATACTGGGAACCCAAGCCTGCAGGTCCTGACCACGGCCCAGGGATGGCCTCTCAGAAGCACAATCCCAGGCCCCGAGAAGTCACATGATCTGGCTGGCAGAAGTGGCAGCCCCTCTCAGCAGGAAGCCTGTCTCCAGTGCTGAGTCACGCGGGCTCTGGCCAGTGGCACGGGGCAGAAGGAAGGTGGCGGCCTGGCTGTGGTGACTGCTAGGACCTCTGCTCCCCGGGCCCTCCAGCCTCCCTGGGTCCGCCCAGCTGCACGCAAGCCAGCGCACTACCCTCCGCAGGGCGTGGGGTGTCGGGAGGCCACCAGTCCTCAACCCTCCCTGCCTCTCACATTGCATGTGCAGGCTGGTGGCCAACCCCCTCGAAGGCTGTGAGCCAGGAGTGTCCGAACCGAACCGGAAGTGCAGGGCTTCAGGCTGTGCGCAGGGAGCTGGTGCAGGCTGAAGAGGGGTCCTGGGAGGGGCACATTTGCATTTTGAAGGAAGAAAGGTGTTTGAGAAGTGGAAACAGGCAGGAGGGGCCTTCCAGCAGAAGGGAGCACTTGGGCTAGGGCAGGCGGCCCAGTCTGTGGGCAGCAGAGGGAAGCTGAGGAGGGCAGCCCAGGGGCAGCAGCGGAAGGGGAGGCCTGAGGCTTTTCCCACTCCCATGAGGTCAGGAGGCGGAGATCCGGAGGCAAACCCTGTGGAGGGGTCCCGCCTCCTGCATTCTTCCCCAGCTACAAGGCTCTGAGAGGGCCTCCCTTCCAGAGAGCGGCCTTGTTAGGCAGAGGAGAGCCTGGGAGCTGAATAGAGGGCAGAGAGGCAGGACCCTAGCCTGGGCAGGAAGGGTTGGGCAGTACCGGGCTCCATGAGTGGGGCCGGCCACCGTTAGGGTCTCACTGGCCTCTGTCCTTAGTGGGGCAGTCAAGCCCAGGGCCGCTTTCGGGCAGCCCAGCCTCTGTTAGACCGTACTGAGATGGCAGGGTAGGGAAAGCACCGGCTTTCATGGGTGGGGACTCCACCAAAGCATTGCGGGGAAGCCATGGTTCTAAACCAATTACTCCTAACTCCTGGGCACACAGCCCTGGCCCCTCTGAGCCGATGTCTCCTCTGGGACCTCATAGAGGGTAACCAGGGCCTCCTGGGAAGGTGATAGAAGTGGCAGCAGCCCTGGAACCCCAACCAGCAATCAGCCCCCCGCCCCCCATGGGAGCCCTGCAGCCTGCAGCCGTGCGGAGCCAGAGCCGGTCAGATGCCTGACCGCCTACAAAGCACTCTCAGCTTCGTTTGCTTGCTGGTACCCTGTCCACCCCTCCTGAAGGCAGTGATGGGGACAGCTTCTGCCCAGGATGGCTTCAGGGCACTGGGAAGTGGAGGGGGCGCTGCAGTGCGGGTGGCACCAGCAGTGGGCTGGGCGGAGTCAGGAGGTGGATTCCTGAGTTCTCATCTGGAGCTGCCCCTGGCTCACAGCCTGGCCTGGGATCCATCTTGCCTCCCTCCACAGGTAGCTGACATGGATGGGAATTTCAGTCCCCAGTCCCCTGGAGCCTCCTGTGACCCTCTAGGCCATGGCATCCAAGAGGTTGAGAGTAACAGTCCAAGCTGGGGACGTTACTGGCACCCTGTCCGAGCTCCACGAAAGTGGGCACAGACGGAACCATTTTCTCCCCACGTGAGGACACCGTGCTGCCCAGATCACCCAGCTCAGCCTCGATGATACACCCAGGCCCCAAAAAGCTTTGCCTTGGAAATAAAACGTAACTTAGGTTACTCCTCTGTTTTACCCTCTAGAAGGGGAGGAGGGCAGGCAGGGACCCTAGATCCTGGGGCTCTGTTCTTTTAATGTAGAAGGGAGAAAAAGCTGATAAATTTGGGGGTGGGGACAATTCATTAGTTCAGCCAGTATTTCTTGAGCATGCTTTCTGTTGCAGCCTGTCCGGGCTTTGCACACAGAGATGAATAAAGGACACAAGCCCCTGCCTGCAGGAGCCCACATTTTGATGAACTCACACTTTTGAAGACAGGCAAATATTCAGCTTGTAACAAAAAGGTGGCATTGGACTATTCCATAAGCACTTACAAGTACACAGTGGGTGCAGGAAAGCCTCCAGCAGTGCCAGGATCCGGGGAGGCCAGTGAGGCTCTCATCTCGTACACAGAATAGAAAGGGCACCCAAACTCGGTCATCAAGAGAAACATTATTTTAGTGCAATGATTTTTAAACTAAAAATTAATATAAAAACTTGTGATGAACAAAACCTCAAAACTGTAAACAGAGACAAGACTGATTGTTTTATGACTGTGTGTGATTATACAATGGGAACAACAGCTTCCAATCAGCCCATGTTTCCTGGCCAGGTGGCCGTTGAGTCCCCTGGACAGCTTGATGATGTCACAGAGGTTGGTGATGCCATGTGAACAGATTGGGAAACTCAGGGCTTTCTATACAGTTGCGGTTTTTGACTGGAGAGCCTCTTTTTCCACTTGATTCAAATGTGGGAGGTATTTGGTAAGTGTCTAGAGGGGTGGGTATGAGCCTCCTCCAGCCTGAGCTCTGTCTCATGTGGCCCAGCATGCACTGGCCTTCGGAAGAGCATCTCAGTGGGTTTCCAAGTGGGAGGAAAGTGGAAGATGTAGGAATACCATTCAGTTGACCCGCCAAGTGGACAGAGGAAAATGATACAATTTTTTTTTTTTTTTTTGAGACAGGGTCTCGCTCTGTTGTCTAGGCTGGAGTGCAGTAGCATGACCTTGGCTCACTGCAATCTCTGCCTCTTTGGCTCAAGGCATCCTTCTGCCTCAGCCTCCTGAGTAGCTGGGACCACAGGTGTGTGCCACCACATCTGGCTAATTTTTTGTATTTTTGTAGAGATGGAGTTTCACTATGTTACCCAGGCTGGTCTCAAACTCCTGAGCTCAAGTGATCTGCCTGCCTTGGCCTCCCAAAGGTAAGCCACTGCACCTGGCCAGAAAAATCTTTTTAACAGTTTTATTGAGATACCATTTACATACTATACAATTCACCCATTTAAGATACACATTTCAATGGTCTTCCGTAGATTCACAGGGTTGTGCACTCATTGCCACAAAAAAGTTTAGGATATTTTCATCACCCCCCAAAAGAAGCCACATACATTTAGAGTTACTTTCCATTTCTCTCTAAACTCCGCCTGCCCTTCCTCCTCCAGCCCTAGGAATCACAAATCTACTAGGAAAATAAAATAACTTTTGCATTGGAAGTTGGATCTTTGTAGATCCTAGATCCGTCTTGGCAGCGTTGACACAGGTGTGTGCCAACACGATGGTCC